CATTTGTAAACTATTCCCAAGTTGATCGGATAATAAATGGATTTTATACAAATATTTTTTCTCGTGACTCCCGAGCGCCGCACGCCAGCGTAATGAGTAGGAATATTGGTGACGACACTGTTGTCACCAATTAGCGAAAGTGTTAAGACAGGCATGGAGAACTTGATTAAAATTAGAAGAGCTTTAGAGATATGATCAACATAAAAGATCCCAAGCTGCACAAACAAGGTGGGAAAAGAAGACCATTCCCCACGAAGGGAAACAGAATGAGGAGGCAAACCCTGGGCAAATCTGTGCAAATGATGACATAATAAAGCAGCATCATGACCAGACCACACACTAGAAGGTGAAGGGACAACGATGACGTTTCGGTCCGTCCTGGACCATTCTCCTGGACTTTAGAATGGTCCAGGACGGACCGAAACGTCGTCGTCCCTTCACCTTCTAGTGTGTGGTCTGGTCATCATACTTTAGCCACGTTATTGTGACTCATCGCCTGCAAAAAAAAGCATCCTAAAATTTAAGGCAATATTTCAAAGTTACTCGAGCATGGTTCCCCCACTGGGAGAGGGAGGTTTCAAAAATTAATCAGGCATAGAGGTGTTTGAAAGCACTTGTACCACCTCCCTTTATAGCTTTAAATACAGTATCAAAAGGGCTAGAAAGCTGGGAGGAATAATTTTTTTGTTTTATTTGTTCCTGGATGGTAACTTATCATCCGATTGCTTATGCCTCTAAAAGTATAGAATATGGCCATTATCCCTCTCAAACTCTGCCTATACCTTTGCCTAAGACAGCTTGGGAACATCATCTTGAAGGTACTTGAAGGCTACAAACTTTATCTTGAGCTTTGATTCGTTGTTTCATAAGTCGGCAGCCTCCAGGCACCTTCAAGATGTCTTTTCGAAGTTGTCTTAGCCAAAGGTCAGAGAGTTTGTGGGCTCACACACACCCTTTCTATTACACAAACCTTTTCTATACTTTGATGGCATAAGCAGTAACAAAATATTACTTGCGATGTACGAGGAACAAAAGTTGTTACATTGCATAGTCACACGAGTACTTGATCGCTAAGAACAGATGCCCAAGAACTAAATTTCTCAACCCCTATAGACAAGTAATTATTAAAACAAGGCACGAAGCTGGGAAGACTAAATCGCACTGTCCATGTCATGGGATATTCAAAGGGTTCTCTAAATCGCACTGTCCATGTCATGGGATATTCAAAGGGTTCTCAACATCACTCATTATGTCAATACTAGAGCAAAAAGGCAAGATGAACAGCACGAGATGTATCCAATTCCCTGAGGATACTATTTAGAGACAAGTGACTGAAAAAGACATTAGAAAAGAAAGCCGATAGACACAAGTCATATAGACAAGTCAAAGAAAGCCTTTGACACTTGCCCACAAAAGGCTGAAACACAAATTGTAAAAGCACAAAACAGAGTGGGTACCTGGAAAGTACACGAATTACAATGTATCTAATAGGAAAGGAAGAGTTGCAGCGTTACCAAGTCTCATGAATAGTACATCGCATTATGAAATTTCCCAAAAGTCAAAAACCCAAGTACTAAAAATGGTAGTGGCTCGCAAAATTCACATGACATCCTGTTTTCTGTTTGTGGGGGTCCTCGGGTAGGTTAGGTTCATGCAATTTAGTACAACAGTTCAGTGACATTGGAAGTGCTTGGATGAACAAGCTGTACTTGCCTAGTTGTGCTTGTGGGGGGTTGAGCTTTGGCTCTTTGGTTCCATCTCTAACTGTCAATCAACTGTGTAGAGGGGTCCCACACAACTTGATACTCTACCACAATTCCTGATTTATGTAAATGACCTTAAAGTGGGATCATCCATGTCAATGCTTGAAGATAATAACGAATTGAAGAAAACACCAATGCTTCAAGATGGCCTGGACAGGCTAAAGGAAGTGTGCATATGGTTATTGAAGTTTAATCCCCAAAAATGTAATGTGAAGGGTATTTGCAAACACGGAGACTAGAAGGGAAGTACAGTTCATGAGGTATGCAGTTGCAAAAGTCTACGAATCTGTCAGTGTTTGTAATACTTAAAACATTATCCCACTGGCAGACATTAGGATAGTGTGTAGCACTAGAATATATAGCAACAGCTTCCAAGAACCAGACCAAGAATTATTCAGAAATTCTGTATATGAAGTACACCAGCCTTTGGTACACAACTGGAAAACCACAAAGAGCCAAATAACATAGCGTTGCACGAAACACTATGCGTACTAGTGGCTTTAGGTATTGTATGTACCACCTCTATCTTTAAATCAATGTTTGTACTGTAATCTGCAACTTTGTATGTACTTTTCCTAAATAAATTATTATTATTATTATTATTATTATAATAGAACATTGAAAAGGGCTAACGATTTACCATTGAACAGGTACTAGAAATGTATATGTACGTACAATAAATCTCAGGTTATCAAGGACTAGCTCATTTACTTTGCGCGTTAATTTGGCGAAGAATATTTACATTCCACATACAACAGATTCTATATCGCCCACCTTATTTTGTTAAATTGAACGAGATAGGGAATGTGGATAACAATTCATCAATGACAAAGGCTTCTATTGATTTTTCTCCTAACAAGAATCAAAGGATTATTCTATATTAGGTGCAATACCCATTCACTGACAAAATAAAACTGTTCAAATTATCACAAAAATTTAATTATCAGAATAGAGGAGCTACAGCTCTAATACATAATAAATTTGAATTACTTTTAACTGCTATAAGGTCAGAAAAAATTATGAAATTAATTATGAAACCAAAAAATAAGGTAAAGCAAAACAGTAAAAACATACTTTAAAAAAATTGCAAACTGATAAAAAAAAGGATTTAATAAAATAATTTTATTTAAAACCAAAATATCATAATTGGAAGACATTATTGATTGCAAAAATTATCTATGAAGCAATAATAATGATAACAAAAATATATAATTAACTTTGATAACTGATATACATTAACCGAGTATGATTATGTGTAATGCGTATGTATGAATACAGTGTATATTGTATAGAAATGTGAATGTAAATTACACTAGATATCTGTTAATTCATGACATTTGTATCAGCTCAGGGTGGATAAAATAGTTCCCTAAGACCGCCTGTTTCTTTCACACAGGGATATCCATGGGCTGCTTGGCACCGGTGGCTTCGGTCTCAACCCGTAATCACGGATCCCAGCCTTCGATTCCTTGGCTTATGCACGCCCCCTTCCCCACCCCCCTACACACCCATTACAAAAATGACTTCCAGAACTGGACAACAAGAGTTATGAAGGGAGGCCAGTATAGATGTTATATACAGGCGATGAGTCACAATAACGTGGCTGAAGTATGTTGACCAGACCACACACTAGAAGTTGAAGGGACGACGACATTCGGTCCGTCCTGGACCATTCTCAAGTCGATTGTGAATGGTCCAGGACGGACCGAAACGTCGTCGTCCCTTCAACTTCTAATGTGTAGTCTGGTCAACGATGTTATATATGCCAACACCAGAAGATATAAGGAAAAGAGAGGCGATATGACTGCCACTTACAAAATAATAACAGGAACCGACCAAACTGACAAGAGGAATTTCTGAAACCAGCAACCTCAAGAACGCAAGCAGCAACCTCAAGAACGCAAGGTCATAAGACTCACGCTAAGGAAACAAAAGTGCCAAAAAAAATATTGAGAAAGTTTTGCTTTGCAAGCAGTGGTAGAATAAGTTTCGTGAGAAAGTGGTGTAGGCCAAAACTGTCTGTTTCAAAGCGGTATAAGACGAGTGCTGGGAAGACAGGACAAGAGTGTAGCTCTCATCCTGTAACTACACTTTGATAAATGCACACACACACACACTCTTAGGGGCCTCGCGGATGAGTGGACAGCGCTCGGGGGTCGTAGTCCTAATGGCCCGGGATCAATTCCTGGCGGAGGCAGAAACAAATGGGCAGTTTCTTTCACCCTGATGCACCTATTCACCTAGCAGTAAATGAGTACCTGGTAGTTACATAGCTGCTACGGGCTGCTTCCTGGGAATGTGTGTGCACGCACACGTGCTTGCTTGCTTGCTTGCTTGCTTGCTTGCTTGCTTGCTTGCTTGCTTGCTTGCGTGCTTGCGTGCTTGCGTGCGTGCGTGCGTGTGTGTAGAAGGAAATATATGTTGTGGCTATAATAGAGGAAAAACAGATTGGGTTACAAAAGCGGTGTCTAAGAGTTAATATCTCTATTCTGCAGACACAAATAGTAAATACTTAGGTAATTACACACCATACACAGACCTCCTGTCCACGCCAACACGAATGAAGTTAGAAGTACAAACAAAAATGACTTGCAAATGCCACGATGTGCAAGATGCCTCATTACACACACAAAGTAGTAGCCACATTTATATATGTTGTGCATGCACTCAAAATATATAACCTATAAAGGCAGTTGCATAATTTTTAAGCATATCGTGGTCCATGGGTGAAGTGCACGTGTGGTGTGACCCAGGATGCTGGTTCGGTCCCGCTTGTCTGCTCCAAAACTTCTCTTAGCTATATCATGTTTTATTGCGTATAGTTAGATACACATTCATTAATCATAAGTAACGCTTTTCATGGATTGCCGACATGTTGAATGAATACATAAACGTGTGTATATATATATATATATGTATGTAATGAAATAAATATAAAATGCAAATAAAAAGAAAATCACTTTCCAGGACTATCTGTTCTTGAAATACTCATAATTAAAAAATTTAAATCAATTCAACAAATAAACTTACAACCAAAAAAGAATAAAAAAATGGCAAATAACTTCCTATATTTAGGGCTCATTATCTTATTAAAGATCATGCCATAAAACAAAGCATTTCCATTAATAAGAGTAACTTCCCCAAATCAGAAAAACTGGTATAGCAAAACATATAACTAAAGAGAAATAATACAAGAGCAAGCCTGGCCGAGCTGCAGCATGAGGGTGATGTGCGAACCTTAATGAGGGCACGGTCGGCTGATGGATGTGTGGGGTGAGGGGTAGACGTCCGCACCTTGGAGATGGACACCTGTGAGGGCGAGTCCAACGGCCCAGGGCCCGGAGACGACGACGACGCCGGAGAATCTTTACGGATGATCTCCACTTCGCGCGACAAATTGAATGGAAGATTTAGATTGGGGGGTAGTCCCGTTATCATATTGCTGGAACTGCTGCTACTACCTCCATTACTGGACTTGCTGCTGCTGTTGCTGGAACCATTCCCGCCACCAGTACTAGTTAAAGTAGTACCTGAGGAAAAAAATGAATCTTGACTGAAATTCATCTATCTGTCTGTCAGTCAGTTTGTTCGTTTACTTCCATACTAAAGCTATCTAATTCTCAACCACCATACTTAATGCTTATATGTTTGGTATACAATTTACATCTGAAAAAATTGGCAATAAATTAACCCTGCAACACTGTTTGAGGATTCCTTGATACTATCAACATTAAAATTGTTGGATAATTTAACAAAATAATTTTTTAATTGCTAGGTCTTTCGCACAAGTGTGCATTTATGCTCTGAGCATTAATATGAGCACCATTTCCTACACACACTTTGCTGTTTAACAAACAATTATGACCCAATTCCCTACAAAATAACTATTCTATTAACCACTCAATTGTGCATAACCAGTGTCGCTTCATTGGAGGTGTGCAGAGAAACAAAGGTCATTTTATTTTATCTAGCATTTTTTTTTTTATATCTAGAGTAAGATTTCAAAGTCCTGCACATACATGGAGCGCACACGTGCTTCTTCAGGCCTCCAGTAGATGCCATCGTGAGAAAAAAAACCATGGGCACCACTCCTGGGTGTGAGTGCCTCATTACTGAGTGGGCGCACCGTTCTTGTGTAAGTCCACTACTGGCTCACCATAGCCCGTCCAACCACTTGGGGTGGACGGTAGAGCGACGGTTTCGCTTCATACAGGTCGGCATTCAATCCCCGACCGTCCAAGTGGTTGGGTACCATTCCTTTCCCCCACGTCCCATCCCAAATCCTTATCCTGACCCCTTCCCAGTGTTATATAGTCATAACGACTTGGCACTTTTCCCTGATAATTCCCTCCCTCCCTCACCATAGCCTGTGCTACTTGGAACCTGTTCCGAGTAGCTCTCATAGAATGTACCGACTGTGATAAATACCATGTACAAAGTTCAGATATCAGAGAACACAATGTGGGTTATGGTGTTCACAGAGGGAGGCAGACATTCACAGCACATAGGTGCAGTTTTGTACATCTGTGTGTCATGTAGCAGGACCTCAATGTTACCTTAGACAACAAACATAATATATTCAACGTGTTAAAATTTCTTGAAAAACGTGTGGGGCTAGGATGAACTCTATAACTAGATACCAGATAATTACACCAACCACAACTGCTTGGTATATGTGTGTGTGTGTATATAACTATAATACAGTGCGCATATTAGCAACTCTTATATATCTGAACACACCAATGTTAGACGTATTTTATTAAATAAATTTCTCGATTTACTCACTATTGAAAAACATTACTGAAAAAATGTAAAAATATTTCGTCCCCAACGCCTAACCCAATGAAGACCACCACAGGGGCAAGGCTCAATGCAACTTTCGGGAATTGGGAAACTTCCTTCCTCCATCATTCCTAAGGAGGCCTGGTCGACGACCGGGCCGCGGGGACGCTAAGCCCCGGAAGCACCTCAAGGTAACCATCATGGGAACCGGTCGGCCAGCACACTGGACTTGTGATCCTGTGGTCCCGGGTTCAATCCCGGGCACCGGCGAGAAACAATGGGCAGAGTTTCTTTCACCCTATGCCCCTGTTACCTAGCAGTAAAATAGGTACCTGGGCATTAGTCAGCTGTCACGGGGTGCTTCCTGGGGGTGGAGGCCTGGTCGAGGACCGGGCCGCGGGGACACTAAAGCCCCGAAATCATCTCAAGATAACCTCAAGATCATGGCCAAAGTAGCGAACACATCATTTTTTTCCACAATCAGGGAATGCATTTTAACAAATTTAGAATTAAAAATGTTTTTGTTAATTCTATTTTTTTCCTTGTGTACTGGGAGGTTGTTAGCTACAAGCAGGTGGGTAGCCTAGAGGTTAATGTTGAAAGCTATCTCAAATGTTAAGTGATATTCCTTTATAGCAGTACTATCATCAGAACACAAGTGCAGCCACTTCATAAACAGTCACAATCTTCCAGCTTGATACTGTAATCATCGGCAGAGTACAAAATACTATGCTTATCTCAAGATAAATGAAACTAAAACACTAAAGAAATACCCACTCCATCAATTTAAATGCCTGATTTTACTAAGCAATTCATTTATATATTAGGAAGTTCCCCAAAACAATGAAACGCTTCGATAAAGTACTTATTAACTTGAGTCCTCGCAGCATCGTTAAATACATTTTGCCTAGCCAACTTGCTCACATTTCTATAAACCGTATTCAACAACAAGGACCAAGGTTTCCTAGCCAATGCTCTGCTTGCTGATAAAGACAATGGCCTGTTCTTTCTTGGTAAAGAACACACTTCTAGGTTTAAGCAGTGTATCAGTTCTTGAAAATAGCTCAAACAAGTGAGAGCAGCTGTAATAAACCTAATTAAATTTGAGGCATTATTCTGATTAACAAAACCCTTGCATATACCCAACTTGACTACAGTGTACAAGGTCATGCAGGGTAACCCTGATTATCCCAAAACTAAGTCGGCTTCAACATCAATTGGCCTTGAAGCTACAAAACTTCAAGATCTTTTTGAAATATTTGAGATATAAAGATAAAAAGCTTAAATACTAACTGGTTCTTAGTGTGAACCCCCACACTGATGAGAAAGGAGAGGGGGCATTGAAAACAGTAGTTTCATGAAAACGTACACAACTTATTAAAAAGAAACGAATACATGGGAAAAAGATGGTTGCAAATAAACGTGTCAAGTGATACCTGCTGGATGGGGTTCATGCTGTTGCTTGGAGTGGCCTGCAGGCCCACATACCCACCACAGCCCAGATGGCCCGGCACTCAAAGAAAACTATCTAGTTTTCTCTTGAAGATGTCCACGGTTGTTCCGGCAATATTTCTTATCCTTGCTGGGAGGATGTTGAATAACCGTAGACCTCTGATGTTTATACAGTGTTCTCTGTGCCTATGGCATCCCTGCCCTTCACTGGTTCTATTCCACATTTTCTTCCATATTGTTCACTCCAGTACATTATATTACTGTGTAGATTTGTGACCTGGCCCTCCAGTATTTTCCACATGTATATTATGTGAAATCTCTCTCGTCTCCTTTCAAGTGAGTACATTTGGAGAGCTTTGAGATGATCCCAAAAATTTAGGTGCTTTATTGTGTCTATGTATGCAGTATATGTTCATCTCTGTATTCCCTCTATTTCAGCAATCCTCCTGCTCTGAAGGGGGAAAGTGAGTACTGAGCAGTACTCAAGACGGGACAACAAAAGTAACTTGAAGCGTACAACCATTGTGATGGGATCCCTGGATTTGACCAGCACATGTGGCTGCTCACAGTCTGACTTATGAGTCATAGCCTGGATGATTAGGTATCCTCTGAAGGTTTCATCAAGTTCTCTCTTAAATAAAGTGAGAAGTTATGGCCCTTATGTTTAGAATGTGTTGAAAAGTCTTTGTCTCCTTACATGTCATTAATGTTTTATTTGATATAGAGGGACCATAGTTTTATTGCATTTTTTTTTAGCAATTTAGACAGCTGTACCATTTTGTTAAAATTTTTGTTGATATGCACTGTAATTGTAATTTGGCTGTTATTTCTGGCCAGATAATTCCTTATCTAAACACACGGGTAGAAATGACCATTTCAACCCTTATGGGAGCTCGATGGGCAAATGTTGACAGCCTGTTAACATATTTTATTTGTATCACAATTCATTTCCAATAAAACAAATATTATTAGTACAGTATATATTCTGCAACATTCTTTTTTTAGTATTTAATTTCCTGCCTCCAACACTGTCATCTCCACTGATGTGTCCAAAACCCCTAGGTTAATAATTCCTGACTATACCCTTAATATCTCAAATAATTCAAAAATTTTACAGCAACACTAGCCCTGACTCGAGTACAGCCTGTGAGAAAGCTATCCGTTAAAAATACCCTTAACTTTAATGTATTAGTAATAAGTAGCTTCACTGTACCAGGCTTTTTAATCTCCAATCATTGTCATATGCCATTCTGTGAGACCACTCCACCCATTATGTTACTTTCAGGGCTTGTTTCTCCCACTACTACTCAGATCACACTTACAAATTCTAAATATTATACCAATCTGATTATGTACATTACCCCCCCCCCCATAGAGACCCCATTTTCTATTTTCATTTCTATCATATTGTGCAAATGCAATCAATATCGCCTCCCAGAGAACTAATATGGTTGCATTACAAGATGTTTCGCACACTCACCCCTAGCCAGGAGATGTTTTTGGGCTTGTAGTGCACTCGGTGATAACGCTTCTGCAGATGCTGCAGAAGTCATATTTTTTATCTGTTGTTTATATTCACGCGACGCCTTAATGTGTGCTGGTATTGCCGAAGACGAGGCCTGAAATGGCAACACATTCATTAGAAATATTGGCATATGTTGGGCAAAGTCCTGCTAGTCTCATGGTCACAATCACACAGCTGGGGTATGATGTCAAGACGTGACACCAGTTGTAACAGGCATCTTCACGACGAGAAAATCATTTGGAGCAATGTGAGATCTTAACCAGCTATTCCCACCTGTGACCCTAAACCTTACATCCTGACATAGTAATGCTTATCAAAATTGCTAGATCAAATCTCCACATTAGTCCAGTTCATTTTCTCATCGATATATCATGTTAGTGTGATTTCCTTGCATATCTTTACCATGTCCGAGCCCTACTTGGCTTCACATGAATTGCCAAGCAGCACTATTGTTACAAGGTGACAACTGGAAAGACACTGAACTGAATTTGATGAATCAACGTTTCATCAAATGAAACTTTGCAAAATGTTTAACGAAGTTCCTATAACTGCATAGCAACCAGTATAACTGTATACATTACCAGTAATGTAATTTTGTTCCCAAAACTCCTGGATTTTGAAAATGTAAATAATGCATGCAAATGTTTATGTCCTCAGGTGATGGCTGTCTACAAGATGTTGAGTGAGAGTTGGCAACAAAGATTTAGAGAATGTGTGTCTTGAGAACCAAGTGGCTTAGATTATATATAATTCCAATGTTGAATTCCTCGTGTGGTCTAGAGTATGTACAGAATTAAGTAACTCAAGTGTTGTGCCTTATTTTAAAGCTGTGCTACATTGGTTATATCAGCGACTCGTGTCATTACAATATTGTAATGCTATTTCCTACGATGTATTTTGGTACGAACATATGTTTGCAACTTTAAATTTTCATTTATATTAATCCATTTCAACTGATATATGACTGCTTTACACAGGTGGTTCAGAATGAGGAATAATGTCCAGCCAAAACATTTTGCCATCCTAGGAAAAAATTGCACTAACCTGTAGTAAAAATCCAAGTAAATTTAAATATTGGCAATATTAGTACCAATCAGGGTGGATGACTTGACTTTAAATCAGATTCCTGCATAGCATAAGCGTTAAAATCTGTTTATTGCTCTCTGCCAGCATGAACCACAATTGTGACTAATCAGGAAGAACGTGAAGTGCGAAAAGTCAGCAGTCTGTGAACCCTATCTACACATATATATTGGCCTAGATGTTCTTAAAGTGTCAAGCATCTGCTCTAAGTTCCGCTTATAGGCCATCAGTAGTTCACCGCATGGCAATCTTTTCTTACATTTACTTTTGAAACTATCGCCTTCGCCTTGAAAAATTCCACATTTAATTGTGACTGGGTGTAGCAACAGACTGAGCCAACCAACCAGCCAGCTAGCAGTCAGCAAGAGTGCTCCTTGGCAGTCACTGTAACACCACGTAGTGCTTGGAATAGTGAGCCTTCTGCTGGTTATTTCTGTCTGGATTAAGTATGCTCACATCTCTCCGTGACGCAATACGACCCGACAAGTATTAAAAAAATCACTTTTGTGCCAGTGTCGTCCATGCTCTGGCTGCGTGATTCTGTCCATAGGCCCAGGAGGCTCTTGTCTACCACAGCAACCATCTGGTATAACTCAAATATATATACAAATCATTAATAGATTATTTTTAATCCAACATATTAACACTTTGGCATTGTGATGAGGTTCATGGAATCATTAAAACAATACATGCAGTTTAGGGGATGACATCAACGCTGTCAACAATTAATTTTGGCTTATTCTTATTAGTAAGTATAAACATTGTGAGAGAGAGAGAGAGTTTAACATTGGGTTGTGAGGTCACGGCCAACGCCTGGCCTACCTTGCGATGCTCTGCAGGTGGCCCGTTGGGCCAGGCAAAGTTTTAAGTCATAGTGGATGTATTTTATGATCTTTCCCCATTCATGATTCTGCCACTTGAAACTAAAGAAATAAAGATTTATTGGAGGACATTGATCCAGACAACTTCTTTAAAAGGTCAGATGTACCAAAGTGAAATTGTTTCAAGCTGAACAATCCACAATGTAGGACAGAAAACAGGAGATGTTTTTTCACTCGTAGGGTTATAAACCTGTGAAACTGCCCACTCACCAAAGTAGTTATTGCCAAAATACCGCTTGTTTTTAAAATCCAGCTCGATAAAATTATCAGTACAAATGGTGGGACCTTTGACAAGTCACCAGCTTCCTATCCTCATCAAGGCCATTTGAGATAGTGGCCTTCTGGTAAGTTAAGAATTAAGATTGTATGTAAAGGTAAGAATTACTGCAACCAGTTTGTCTGTACGTTTAAGTATTTTAAATAGTAAGCATTAAAAATTGTAACAAAAACTTGCACACCTTACACGCTCAATTTGTTTTTATTTGAGCGTGTGGTGTATGCGTGCGAGAGTGTGGTGTATGCGTGCGAGAGTGTGGTGTATGCGTGCGAGAGTGTGGTGTATGCGTGCGAGAGTGTGGTGTATGCGTGCGAGAGTGTGGTGTATGTGTGCAAGTGTGTGGTGTATGCATGCGAGAGTGTGGTGTATGCATGCGAGAGTGTGGTGTATGCGTGCGAGAGTGTGGTGTATGCGTGCGAGAGTGTGGTGTATGCGTGCGAGTGTGGTGTATGCGTGCGAGTGTGTGGTGTATGCGTGCGAGTGTGTGGTGTATGCGTGCGAGAGTGTGGTATATGCGTGCGAGTGTGTGGTGTATGCGTGCGAGAGAGTGGTGTATGCGTGCGAGAGTGTGGTGTATGCGTGCGAGTGTGTGGTGTATGCGTGCGAGTGTGTGGTGTATGCGTGCGAGTGTGTGGTGTATGCGTGCGAGAGTGTGGTGTATGCGTGCGAGTGTGTGGTGTATGCGTGCGAGAGTGTGGTGTATGCGTGCGAGAGTGTGGTGTATGCGTGCGAGAGTGTGGTGTATGCGTGCGAGAGTGTGGTGTATGCGTGCGAGAGTGTGGTGTATGCGTGCGAGAGTGTGGTGTATGCGTGCGAGAGTGTGGTGTATGCGTGCGAGAGTGTGGTGTATGCGTGCGAGAGTGTGGTGTATGCGTGCGAGAGTGTGGTGTATGCGTGCGAGAGTGTGGTGTATGCGTGCGAGAGTGTGGTGTATGCGTGCGAGAGTGTGGTGTATGCGTGCGAGAGTGTGGTGTATGCGTGCGAGAGTGTGGTGTATGCGTGCGAGAGTGTGGTGTATGTGTGCGAGTGTGTGGTGTATGCGTGCGAGAGTGTGGTGTATGCGTGCGAGTGTGTGGTGTATGCGTGCGAGAGTGTGGTGTATGCGTGCGAGTGTGTGGTGTATGCGTGCGAGAGTGTGGTGTATGCGTGCGAGAGTGTGGTGTATGTGTGCGAGTGTGTGGTGTATGCGTGCGAGAGTGTGGTGTATGCGTGCGAGAGTGTGGTGTATGCGTGCGAGTGTGTGGTGTATGCATATTCTGTATCCTCCTGTATTAAAAAAGGTATATACAGTACTGTATATAAATAAAACACAATTTTCCCAGAGACAATGATAGGGAAGTTAACATAGGTTGTTACATTATTCATCCATGCACAGCCAAGGGAATAATTAGTATGGTTACAGTACAGTATCTGGGAAAACAATTTAACAGGAGTTTAATAGTCACTGGTACTAGACTAGATGAGGAGTAAGCAAAAGCAAGGTTTGCAGACAGAAAAAAAAAACAGCCTTTCAGAACCTTGACTAGAGCTATGAGGACTAACAGAATCTACAAACTCCGAGCGAATTCAGAGGTACTTTGTCACGTGCAAGACCCCGAGACAACATGGAGAAAACGAAATCCGAGGAAACTATCATGGTTCAGTTGAAGTGTGCATGCCTAGCGAGTCTAGGGCATGGGTTTCATCCCATTGTACTGCCTAAATATTTTCTCAAAATCAGATTGCAACTAGAAGTTTGCACAGGTTGAAACTAGAGACAAATGAACCACATGGACACTCCATCAGTGTACAAGGAATAGTTAGCAGACACCAATTCAATCCCCAACTTCAAAAGCTGAAGTCACAGAAAATAGAGATTGGCAGTGCACCAGACACAAAAGTAAAGTGGGGGCCCACAAAAGTCAAGCCTCCCTATCCACAAGCACACATAGGTAAGAGCCAAGTGGTAAGAACAGCAGCAGCAGGTGATGACAATATAGCAGCAGTAATATCTGTGATGGTAGTAGTCTGTACATTTCTCATTAATTTTAATCAGACATTCTATGTATGGTTTAGTAATTCAAGTGGTTTTAATTAGACTAAGAAAGACAAGTTATTCTTCTGCTTTCCTTATTTTTTATTAATGCTCCTCACACAACGTAATCGAAAGGAAGCGACGTGACGAACAGAAGCACAATGAAATCCCCAACGGGATTTATGTGAGAAAATATTATGACCATACAATGGGGTTGAAATTGCATCCCAGACTCCATCGTGCAACCTTACTTTTTTCTCAACAAAAACATATCTAAAAAAAAAATGATGTCAGTAGATGAGAGATTAAGGGAAATATTAAATGTCAAAGCACTAGCGAGACTGCTGGTAATTTCAGAATATCATTTGATGCTGGAAAGCCAAAGGTCAGTGACCAAATAGGTAAATAAGGAACAGAGTACACAAAGACGGAAACAACGAAGCCAAGATGGTAAAGGAAAATGGATGAAATGTTGAGTAAATATTGCTCAAGAATAATGAAATCCCAAGAACATAATATAGCCGAGAAAATACTGAAGGTGTACAATGTAAGTCGTGTAGTATTTCTGGCCAAGATACTTTTGAGGCTATCATAGTCCAGTGTGTAGTGCACCAGAGGAGTTCAGGGGCTTGGTTTCCATCCCAATGTACAGTTCCAATATTGACTCAAATACTGCCCAAGTTCAGGGTTATTAATGAAAATAATGTAGAGCTCAGGTAGTATGACTTGAAAATGAGCACCTGAAGTGTAGTGAACTCTAGAGGGTAAACTACAAACTGTACAAAAATTCTAAGATTACGAGCAAAAATTAAAGACAGCTTCCAGCTTCACAAATCCGAGATGGTGCATGCATGTTCAAAATACACCAAGCACTCGACAAATTTAAGCTCGGAAACAATAAAAGGATTAGGAAAGACTTTTCACAAAATAAATGAATATTTACAAAGGAATTTGACTGATAAAGATTGCTGTAAAGTATATAGACTGTAATAAAAGTAAAAAATAATACATATATATATTCTTGTAAAGTTGTATTAAAGACAAAAGAAAATGTATGTGAAAATGATGATGTACAGAACAATGACACCAGACTCCCAAGAAACAATCTCCTTATATGGGAAAATTACAGATTTACCAACATATTTCTATATCCTTTACAGAGTTCAAATAAAGTCCCTTTATCTTACACACACGATAACACCAGTCAGCCTAACACCAATTGCAGCACGGTTTATGTTTTCCTCACTTTAACGATATCACATTTAACAGTCGCAGTCATCCACAGCAGCTCTCCTCTGACTTTTGATTTGTTACTTTCACGGCATTCTCTCTCAAACATGACAGCATTCTCCTGCTGGATGGGGTTACTTTCACGGCATTCTCTCTCAAACATCACAGCATTCTCCTGCTGGATGGGGTTACTTTCACGGCATTCTCTCTCAAACATGACAGCATTCTCCTGCTGGATGGGGTTACTTTCATGGCATTCTCTCTCAAACATCACAGCATTCTCCTGCTGGATGGGGTTACTTTCATGGCATTCTCTCTCAAACATCACAGCATTCTCCTGCTTGATGGGGTTCTGGGAGTTCTTCTACACGGCATTCTCTCTCAAACATCACAGCATTCTCCTGTTGGATGGGGTTACTTTCATGGCATTCTCTCTCAAACATCACAGCATTCTCCTGTTGGATGGGGTTCTGGGAGTTCTTCTACACGGCATTCTCTCTCAAACATCACAGCATTCTCCTGTTGGATGGGGTTACTTTCATGGCATTCTCTCTCAAACATCACAGCATTCTCCTGCTTGATGGGGTTCTGGGAGTTCTTCTACTCCAAGCCCGGCCTGAGGCTGAGCTTGACTTGCAAGAGCTTGGTCCACCAGGCTGTTGCTTGGAGCAGCCAGCAGGCCCACATATACACCACAGCCCGTTTGGTCTGGTACTTCTTTTAGAAGGCAATCTAGTTTTCTCTTGATGTCTACGGTTGATCCCAAAATATTTCATATCAAACTGAATTGATAATTAATATATCATTCATCAAATATATATTTATCTTATCAATATATTCTTATCTCTAACATCACAGCATTCTCTCGCAAACATCCGAACATAGGAGATAGCACCACGTTCCCAAATGCAGCCTTTTGGCAGCATCAATTCTTTTCTTGTTTTTCTAGCCACAACTGCCATTGCACTACTGACTTTGCTGACTTCCTCTCCTCTGAACTTCAATCACACGATCAAGGTATTTAAAATGATCGACCAGTTTAGGCACCAAATTTACAAAGTATAGGTCATGTGATTCTGATGTCAAAAAAGAGAGAGACAGACAGACAGACTGTTGAACACAAATTATGTGAATGAAAATGTTATGTAAAAGAGATAAAAGTGTAAAAAAAATATTTAACAAAAAAAAAAAAAACCTCACCTACTGAATAAGCTGAAAGTGTAGAGTGAATAATGCAAAGAAACTCCAGTGGTGTAAAAACCATTTGGGACAAGACTCTACTGTAGCACACAATGGTACAAATCAATGAAAAATTGAACTACAAGTGACCATGAAGACTAGAATGCCTAAAAGGTGCTTTAGTCCACAGAAACAATGATGGGAGCCCCACCTTGGCACCCAAGTCATGTTTAATGAGAGGCGGAGGTTGTGAGGGCGGCAGCTTAGTGGCCGTAGTATTCGACGGAAGCTTGGTCAGTGCAGTTTTGGCATCATTAGCAGTTGCACTCACATTCTCCTTCATCACCTGCAACACCGACACGCATGTGACAAGAGACATTTGACATGTTACCAGAGTAAGCAATTATATATGATCAGTTTTTCTTTCTTTTTTTTTTTTATATTCTATACATCAATATATATATATTACACAAACACACCGATCTTTCATGCAAGTACTACATTATCAGTACTGTACAATGTTCCAGTGAAATTAAGCCAGAGTCAAGTGGGAAAGGGTACAGTACTTTTACTTAAACTACAGTATAAGCAACTACAATATTCTATAGTGTATACAAAAAAAAATATATTGTATTTAAAGGAAATAAAAATACAACAAATGACTAGTTAATGAGAGCTACAAACACCAAAGAAAGTTAGAGCAAAGTTGAGAAGACCCATATACTGAGGGTAAGAGGTTTCAGCAAACACCATGTGTACTAAACACCGAGACAAAAAGTGAAGTTAGTACGGAAAAGTTGCAATCGTGTCAACCATGGAATCCCCATTCCACTCACAACCTTTGCATTTTGACTAACTGCAAACGTTATCCGGCTACAAGAACCATAATCAAGTCTAGCAGCTTCCTATGTGACCTGCGCCTCAACAAAATGGGTGACTCCCTTAAATACCTAAATGTTCTAGGCATATCAAAAATTACATTGGCCAAATTTTAGAACTCAATTCTGTTCAAATCTAAGATTGGTCTCTTGCTCAGTCTGTTCAGCCACTATGTTTAGTATACATCAATTGCTCCTCATTTAAAATGCCACTAAAGAAATTTATCGAAGCAGCTAGGAGGGAAATTGACGTAATGTGACGTACCCTCAAAGTTGCAACCTGATCAGCCGTGTTCCTTCCACAATACTTCAAGTTGAAATTCCCTTTCAAAGAAAATAACTTAAATGAAGCATTACTGAAGTCTCAACAAGCTGAACCCGTCACGTGTTGAGTCAGGCACCAATCTCAGAATGAACCTGGAATGACTTGCGTTCTAAAGTATTTGATGCTGACTCCCCCAAAATCAACCCTACTAGCTGTGGCTGCAGGCCTCACCTGGGACTGCCTGACCTTCTTGAGGAGTACCAGCTTCATCTCCTCATTGCGAAGCTCTACCTGCAGTCGATGGACCAGCTTCATCTTCTCCGCCAGTTCCTCGGGGCTCAGCTCCTTGATGGGTGGCACAGGTGGCATTTCGTCGTCGTCGTCGTCTTCATCGTTGACGTCGTTGATGCCGGTGCTGTCGCTCTCGTACCCATTGCTGATTCCGTTCACCTTTGGGGTATCGTCTACCAAGTCTGAAGAAAGCTGGTGGCTGTCGTTAACATGGTTGGCAGTGTTGTTAGCTTCAGGGGTGGCAGTCAGCCGGGGTCTAGATGTAGGTGGCGCTTCACATTCACCAGATACCTCGGAATCATCTTCACCTTTGGAGAGAAATGGTCTCGTTAGTAAATGTTTAAGCACTAACACTCCAGCAACAAAGTGGATTCAGTTAAGGCGGACACACCATTTTCTTTACACCATTTTCAAAATTCATGGGGTGGGAATGAATGCATTAAAAAATACTTTTATTTATTATGTCATCCACATACAGTATACTAATACTACAGATGAATCTGCACAATGATATATAGTACATCTAAATATGACGTAACTTTCAAATAACAATGTACAAATCCACAAGGGCTGTGATGAGGGTTCGAACCTACGTCCGGGATGATCCCAAACGTGCCATAGTCTGGTGCAACACATTGTTTTTTTCCTAATGAATCAGGTCTCCACAATACAAATTAAACAATTCACTAACTAAAACAATTTTAAAAAAATTAAAGGACTATCACGCAACATCCCTCCCTTCAAGCAACTTTGAGAGAACCTAGAGTGGATGGAAACTACTTCAGCTTCCTTTTCATGTATGGGTTGGGTAATTATGACGCCACTTGGCCACCCGCTCGCCAGAGGGCGCCACTTGACCGCCCGCTCGCCAGAGGACGCCACTTGGCCGCCTGCTCACAAAAAGACAACACTACCATTAGGTCAGGGCGCCTGATAGCTGGGTGGACAGCGCTTTGGATTCATAGTCCTGAGGTTCCGAGTTCGATTCCCGGTGAAGGCATAGACAAATGGGCAATATGTTTCTTTCACCTTGCTGCCCCCGTTACCTAGCAGTAAATAGGTACCCGATTGACAGCTGCTATGGGCTGCTTCCTGGGGGGGTTGTAACAAAAAGGAGGCCTGGTCGAGGACCAGGCCGCAGGATGCTAAGCCCCAAAATCATCAAGATAACCTCAAGATACCATTGTCATGCCTAGAAAACAGCACTCCTGGAGACAGTAGCAACACCTTACCAATTATTATAGGAAATAAAGGCCTGTCTGTATTCTGTATTGTATTGTATTGTATTAGCTATCATCTGCAACATGTTGGTCAAAAAGTGAGTTTCCCAATTAACACAACATTGCAAAAATGAGTTAACCAATTACTGTACAGTCCAACCTCAGTTTAATCAACTATATGGGACCGAACCCAACTAGTTGCAGTGAGGGATTTGTTGCAATCACAGTTGCCTCCAGGATGCATCTTCCATAACTTATCGGATAATTTCACTTTGATTAAAATTAAAATTTTCCTATACTGTACAGTAATATTATAAACAACTATCAAATAAACATTTCTGGAAAAAAAATTATCATCTAGCTTATTTCTCATGTCCACAGCCTCAAAACTTTTCTTTCACCAAAGTACGGCCCTGAGTGAACGTAAGCCTTCCCAGCTCACAATGAAAAACCATAGTCTGTGGTTTTAAACATCCTCGATAGCTTTCTCAAGAGTCCAACTATTTCTTGTAATGTCGAGTCCTTTAACAAAAATCATTAACAAATGGGATTGGAGCCACATTACGAATTACCATTTATACCCCTAATATTTCCCATACTCTATGAACTGATTTTACCGAGATAAACTTTAATTTCAACCTGTCATAAAAGGACAACTACCAAGAGAACAAATCTGTAAAGAGATTTAACTACATACATCTAGGATATTTCACCACACCCTAGTTTTAAAATCTCTTTTTCAAAGGAAAAAGGGGCCATGCTTTACTGAACAAAAACCTCTGCAAATGGATATAAAAACCATGGTTAAAAATATTCTCAGTGGCTTTCCCCTACGGCCCCAACTGTTTTTTATAATGTTGCTGCCATCTATGAACTGGGAACCAATATCCTAAGCACGTCCACACATCCCCCGCTTTGGCGAACTCTTGTTCATCAAATCGGGTGGGAAAATCTGGCATGGAAAATGTGTTCCAACCGGATGTTAACCGAATCGAGGTTCATTGACTGTATTAACCATGTGTCCTTAAGGGGGCAAGAGAGTAGTTCCTAAAAAGTTATTCAATGTCAACCAATATTTTTTGACTAGTTGTATATGAAAAGGGCTGCAATTGTTCCAAGTTTCAGTACTGTAGCCTAAATAGAAAAGGAGATTTTTTTTTTTCAACGAATATTACATTTTCAAATGCTTTGAGACCTTTCACCTTTTCAGATACAATCATTCTATGACACTTTTCTGACACATTTAGCATATAATAAAGGATATTTAGGAAGGGATTTTCCAAAACATGTTTAGTTTTCCTAATACAAATAGTCAAAGTTCCCCCCAAAAAATTCTGCAAATATATCATGTTTATTGCTATATATAAAATAGAATCAATAAATGAACTTAGGAAAAAACGCTTCCTACACTTTTTAGAGACAAACGTTACATATAAGGTGTAAGTTTCATGTAAATGGAATAAAAATGAAAGTACCGACTCGTGTATGTTACTTGAAAAATAAATCAAAGTCTAAGGTGCTGCCATCTGCGGCTGAGGTTATCTTGTTATCTTGAGATAATTTCGAGGCTTTTAGTGTCCCCGCGGCCCGGTCCTCGACCAGGCCTCCACCCCCAGGAAGCAGCCCGTGACAGCTGACTAACACCCAGGTACCTATTTCACTGCTAGGTAACAGGGGCGTAGGGTGAAAGAAACTCTGCCCATTGTTTCTCGCCGGCGCCTGGGATCGAACCCAGGACCACAGGATCACAAGTCCCGCGTGCTGTCCGCTCGGCCGACCGGCTCCCAAACGGATCGAGGTTGACATCAACCAATTTCTTTCAAAATTGGCACCCTTAGATAGGCTTACGTACAGTCAGGTGTATAAGTTTCGTGCAAATCGTCCAATAAACAAATAAGAAAAATAAAATTGAAAAAAATCTATTTTTTTTAAACTTAATTTTTTTTTAATAAAACTAGTTATATATTTTTTTATATGCTATTGTGATAGCTGAGAGTTGTAGACATGATTTCAGTTGACACTTGTTTGATAATCGTTTTTGACCCTTTTGGAAAATTTTTGATACATAATTCAATATTTTTTTCTCCCTTCCTATTTGTGCTACGATGCTGAGACTTGGACCAGATGAAGATCTTTTCATATACAACTCGTCAAAAAAGTTTGATTGAAATCGAACCATTTTCATTATTGACCCTCTTGGTGTCAATTTCAGGGTTTTTGGATCCTCTTGGTGTCAAGGTCAGGGTTTTTGGACCCTCTTGGTGTCAAGGTCAGGGCTTTTGGACCCCCTCTGTGTCAAGGTCAGGGCTTTTGGACCCTCTCTGTGTCAAGGTCAGGGCTTTTGGACCCTCTCGGTGTCAAGGTCAGGGCTTTTGGACCCTCTCTGTGTCAAGGTCAGGGCTTTTGGATCCTCTTGGTGTCAAGGTCAGGGCTTTTGGACCCTCTTGGTGTCAAGGTCAGGGCTTTTGGACCCTCTCGGTGTCAAGGTCAGGGCTTTTGGACCCTCTCGGTGTCAAGGTCAGGGCTTTTGGACCCTCTCGGTGTCAAGGTCAGGGCTTTTGGACCCTCTCGGTGTCAAGGTCAGGGCTTTTGGACCCTCTCGGTGTTAAGGTCAGGGCTTTTGGACCCTCTCGGTGTCAAGGTCAGGGCTTTTGGACCCTCTTGGTGTCAAGGTCAGGGCTTTTGGACCCTCTCGGTGTCAAGGTCAGGGTTTTTGGACCCTCTTGGTGTCAAGGTCAGGGCTTTTGGACCCTCTTGGTGTTAAGGTCAGGGCTTTTGGACCCTCTCGGTGTCAAGGTCAGGGCTTTTGGACCCTCTTGGTGTCAAGGTCAGGGCTTTTGGACCCTCTCGGTGTCAAGGTCAGGGCTTTTGGACCCTCTCGGTGTCAAGGCCAGGGCTTTTGGACCCTCTTGGTGTCAAGGCCAGGGCTTTTGGACCCTCTTGGTGTCAAGGTCAGGGCTTTTGGACCCTCTTGGTGTCAAGGTCAGGGCTTTTGGACCCTCTTGGTGTCAAGGTCAGGGCTTTTGGACCCTCAAACACATACAAACTTGTTTGTGGGACCATCTAAATGAGAGCTTTACTGACATATACTCAAACCTATTATGCAGGAGATAAACTTCAGGACACATTTATTACCTCTCTATTGTACATAAATGATAATACAGTATGTACTGTATTTGCAAATTCTCATGTGTCAAAAACTATATTTTTGCCAGCCTCACAACTTTATAATAGGCAAAGACATTGATAACAGTAACAAGTTAAATGCAGAATTAGACAAGCATCATAAATGGTTTGCAACCAACAGACGTTTTTCTTTAAGATTTTCGCAGTTTGATCGCTCACTGTGCCCGACCATAAACATTATGGACCTCTCAAGGCCTTGCTCTATGACGCCTAATATGTTCATATTTTTATATTTTTATTCTAGATATTTCAGGGGTTATAACTATAAATTGTGTCTCAAAAAGTTTGAACATGAATGCTTTAGTGTACAGATGCAAAACGAAATGTGCATAGTTTATGCACGACTGCTGAACATATGAATGTTCATTAACATTTTAACGTTCCTATTTTTCAACAAAAATATATAAAAAATATGGAAATGTAACCACATGTTTGGTCTATACAGCAATAAAAAGACTATAGATAACTTTCATACTTTTCTGTCAGGCAATTTGCAAAGAAGAGAACACACACAGAGCATTGGTTTGTCCCCCGATAAGCTCTACCCAAGTTCTGCTGAAGAAACTAGTCTGAATAACATGTCTTAGCATCATCGGAATGCTAAGCCTTTGTTTAGCGTGGACTCTGATCCTCAGAACTGTCTCATGGAACCCTAAAGGCAACATTTGACAGTACCTCAACCGACTGTTGGTATAATTGCAGCAGAAAGATCAGAGAATTATTTGTACATGACGTATTGTACCTTTGTGAAGCATTTAAAGAGTTGCAATTCAAAGTGAGGTCATCAGGTCGGAGGGCACAAAGTGAGGTCAGAGAAGCACTGTTCAAGATATGTTCAAGTTGTGAATCATGTGTGAACTTTTTGTCATTCATAAACAATGGGTTTGAAGGCTGGATTAACG